GTGTTGTGTCAGTGTCCTTATTTACCTCTAAGAATTTTTTAAATTTATCCTTGGTTTCTTCTAATTTCTTCTAATTCTTTCTAATTTCATTCCATTGTGGTCTGATAGTAAATACAAAAAACAGAGATAAGACCCTGCATTCTAAGAGTTGTTTTGTGGCATAAGATAYGGTCTATTTTAGAGAAGGAGCCATGTGCTGCTGAGAAGAAAGTATATTTTTTCGTTGATGGATGAAATATTCATGAAAATGAAAAGCTATGTTGTAAACAGTACTACTATTAAGAAAATGAAATGACAACCACAAAGACKACGATATTAAATAATTTGTGTCCAGAACATATAAAAATGTTTATTACTCAACAATTTTAAAAGCCCAATTTTAAAAATGGGCAAAGAATTTACTTTTTCTAAATAAAATATACAAAAGGTCAATAAACACATGAAAAGATGGTTAGCATCATTAATCATCAAAGAAACATAAACCAGAACCACAATGAGATAACACTTCATACCCACTTCATACAATGCTGAAAATATAAAAGACAGATAATAACAAAGTGTCAAAATCAATGATGTGATATAATGTGGAGAAATTGGAAATCTCATWACATTACCAATGGGAACACATAATGCAACTTTGGAAAATAGTCTGTTCATCCAAAAGTTAAACACAGCATTACTAGATGACCTGCAATGCTGCTACTATATAGGCACCAAGAGGAACAAAAACCATACTAACCCCATACTAAACACAGATATCCTCAGAAGCATTATTCATAGGAGTTAAAGGATCTATCAGTGAAATATTGTTTGGCAATAAAGAAGAATGAAATACTATTCCACAATGCAGATGAACCTTGAAAACATTTTCACTGAAAGAAGCCAGTCACAAACGATCATAATATGATTCCATTTACAATAAATATCCAGCATAAGCAATTCTATAGAGATAGAAAATGGGTTAGAAGTTCCCTATGTTTGGGATAAGGATTAGGAATAAGGAGTGGTTGCCCAAGGGTAAAGGGTTTCTTCCCAGAATATTATGAAAATATTCTGGAATTAGGCTGCGGTGATGCTTGCACAATATCCTGAACACTGCAAAAGTGCTCATTTTAAATGGATGAGCATTATGGCATGTGAAATATATATTGATAGAGCTATAAAAATTAAGGGATAAAAAGAGGAAACACTATCTCCTCTTATCTGATCAGTTCTCAGCTTGCAATCTGCATTTCTTCTTGATTTCCCTTTACTTTCTGCCTAACTCCTTTCTATAGATTACTAACTTCCCCTTCCATTGTTCATCAACTGCTGCTTTACTCAGAGAACCAATCTTGTATGTAACACTCAATCAGGGGCTATGGTCCCCAAAGCTAAAGAATTTGCCACCCTCCCTCCAGAAAGCTTACCTAAGTAACTCAGGCAATGAAGTAGCAGATTTACTGGTATAAAACTATAGGGTAGGGGTAGATGATAACAAAGAGTTATTGAACAGTTCTTGTGCTTCAGGCAAATATAAGATTCAAGACCATTTATGCTACTTCAGCAAGTAGGCAATTATTATCATGCCTGCTTTATATGTTCAATAARTATTTATTCACTAGACTGGCATTTATTCATAGATTGGCATGCACTATGTACCAGTCTATGCTGGTCATGTTRTAGTGAAACAACCAGACAAAAAGACAAAAAGCCTTACCGATGGAGCTGATAGACAAAACAATGAAATAAATGAAATCTAAAAAATGTTAATAAGTGATARGTACCATGGAGAAAAACAAAGCAGTAGATGATAAAAAGGAAACACGGAGGGAGGAAGGAGATTTCAACTGAAAATATGTGGTCATGCAAAAGCCCCACTGAAGCACCACGTGCGTAGGTGGGGAAGYGGAGGCAAATGCAAATATTCTGAGGCAAGAATGTGTCCAGCATGTTTATTAGGGAATGGCGAGGAGTCAGAAGGCAGCAGCAGCATGCCCCTGTAGATGGTGAGTGAAGGCAGCTCAAGTGAGATAAGAGGAGGCCTACTCCTGCTGGGGCCTTTGTGTTCTCCTGGAAGGAAGACAAGGAACCACAGCAGGATTTGAATAGAGGAGAGTATAAAATGACAAAAAAAAAAAAAAAAAAAACAATGGCTTGGGACTCCTGCACCTTGGGATCATGACCAATATTGATCTACAGGTAAACATCTGATCCTAAAGGAAATGGACCAATCAATATTCATCCCCTCTCCAAAAGCTGAACTAAACAACTGGTGTTTAGCTAGTGTGGGACCTTAAATGGGAAAATGGCATATGGTAGGACTGGGACAGCTGCTTTCCTACCWCATCCACTATTAAACATTTAAAGACAACCGAAGGTTTATGCCACAGACCCACAGGCAAACTGAAGGGAATGGGAGAGGGAGAGGGAAACCTGTCATTGATCTCATTATATGTTCTGATGTACTTATGATTCTCAAGGACAAGCGATATATGGGATACTTCTGTTCTTTCCAGGCCTCYCTGTGGGTTTCTTATCCTTACAATCAAACATCYCTGGTTCAGAGACAGRGTGAGCTTTCTTTTGTCATTCAAGTACTACATGAGACTAAAAATGGGCATCTGTTCTAAGTACCACCCAGCTTGAGTAACTCCTGTAGGAAAAAAAATGGGCCACTCAGAGGGGCAACCAAACAGATGTTATGGCCTTCTATTCACCTCACCACAACGGCTCCATTTTCCCTTGGCTGTTGTTCAGAACATTATAAAATGTCCTATGTAAAAAAAAAAAAAAAAAACCTAGCTCAGCAAGGTGAACTCAATTATCTCACCTCTAGTTTAGTTTCCTCCTGTGTCAATGTCATTACGAGAGTTTTTAGCATATTTTGAAAAGCTAAAAATTATATACTTGTGAAACTAAGTTATTGTTGTTCTTCTTCTTCTTTTTTTTTTTCCTTGCTTTCCTTTTTTTGTGGTGTTGGGGATTGAATCCAGGGTTTCACACATGCCAGGCAAGTACTCTACCACTGAGCTACACCCCCAGCCCTATTGTTACTCTTAAAATAAAGTCCATTAAACTCTGAAATACCTGGCTTTGGATTAATGAGGCTCTGGAAGGGGCACAGGCTCTCTTACCACAAGCAGTCTGCAGTCCTGTTCCTTATGGACAGCAGGGCTATAGCTAACTGCTGTCCTTCCYCCTGCCTCCTAATGGCAGCATGCCAGTCATCTGCCAAATATATGTCCAAGAAAAAAGCAARGATAAATGCATCTTGGTTAACTCTAGACCACATTTACCCTGAATGGCTTCTTCTAACTCTTGGGACACAAGCAAACAAACTAGGGTCTCTGTCAGAGCATCAGTCTGTCTGCCTTTTGCCCACAKCATTCAAAATGCATCCTCATCAAGGTAAGCAACAGCCAGAAGATGGCTGCAGTGGTAAGCCACTATATAGGACTCTAGAACTGCTCTTCTCCAGGTGGTCATCACAAAACCGCAATACAAACTAGTATCCTACCTAAGCTGCCAGTTTACTTGTAGGGCAAGTGAAGACTTCAGTAGTTATTATTATTCACAATGTGCCACTCCTACATACTCCAACGACATGAACTTAGTCAATCCTTCTGTCACTCTCAGTGACATCAAAGGACAATGGGGGATGTACTACTTTAAATGTTCTCTCCAGAAACTGGGTGAACTGCAGGGATTTAAATGTTAGCCCTATATTCCACAGGTCACTTACCTTCTCCTTCACTCTAATAATAAATATAAACAAAGGAAATATCAGGTCATAGTCAGGCCTTATTTTTCATAGGAATTAAAGGTTGAAAAAAAATCACCATTTTTCACTGAAGCAGTTTCAAAATAAATCTTTCTTCATGACATGAATTTTAGTCTAATTTCATTGATAGTTTCATCTGATTTTTTTCAGCCCTTCAACCTAATCTCTCTACATAAAAAATCACAACCCTGTTGCTCTGTTGTATGTTTTTGTTAGAACCTGAAATCCTTTGGGGGGAAAAATAAACACAATTCTCAATTACAATCTCAGAACCTATAATCATTCCAAATCACATAATGATTATTTGAATGTCTGTTTTGCCCTTTAGCCTGCAAGCTCAATGAGAAGGAATAAACGAACAACTGGACAAACAGATGAATGAAAAAGCAAACTGGTTTACTGTTAAACTAGCCCAAGTGCACAAAGCTCTTAATGTGGCAGGGATACCAAAGTCCCTAGATGCCTGTAAAATTTCTGTTAGACAATAATCTCAGAAACTACAGGGAATGGTATTCTGATCTATAGGCCAGCTAGTCACAGAAAAAGTTTCTTATCTGAGTTTCACACAATATAAAAGGTAAGGGACAATGAATTCCACTATAAAATATAATTCCCAAATGAGATTTGATCTTAAAAGTCCATAAAGTTCTAAGAATCTAAGAAAAAACATTTTAGTTTTTCCTCTTAAAATGCAGATTACTTTCATATAATTGCCATATAAATGCAATTATACAAAATTGACTAATCAGAGGCTAGAAATATATATATACTCCYTCCCACATAGATGTTCATGTAGGATGAATGTATTCATCATATCATACATCATTCATGTACCATACATCTTAGGATGCATATATTTGTCATAACTTATTAACATCATTAAAATCAATGTAAAKAATGAACAAGAGGAAACCAGATGTTAAGAGGAAGTGACCTTGGTCCTTATTCCCCCTGAGCCAACTGTTGTATTTATCATCACTTAACATTTCAGCATTTACTGATGCTGAATGTGATTCCACAAATGACTTAGGTGGGAACTATACGATAGACTTCACACCCTCTTTTCAGAGATCCATATTCTAATCTCCCAGAAAAGATACCACTGAAATTTATACCATAGTTTTCCAAGGGTAACCTTGTAAAGATCCCCTATGTGCCCCCCACATTGTTGAACTACAGATACAGGCTCACGCCTAGCCAGTGTGGAGACTGTTGCAGTCATCCTGAATGCACTCACCAGGGTGACAATGGCACATTCGGCCGTCAGCTGAGCAGCACTAAACAGTGTTCGAACAAACCGGTAGATTTGTTTCTGCTCTGGGTTATGTTTGTCATAATCTGGTGGCACTTCGGATTTCTGAGGAAGGAAATATTTTCAGATGATTTGTCACTTAATAGGAGCAAACAAAAAATAMACAATCTCATGAAACACACAGAGGAGATTACCGAAAGAGGATGAAGGTTTTCATCAAAAATATCTAAGAGCATCCTTCCATCTGGGTCCCTGGTGGCAAAAATAGTAGAAAAACAGAGTTTACTTTCTGCAAGAATAAATATCATTAAAAATAAAACAAACACACATTTTGACTCAACTATTTCAAGAGACAGAAACAGTGCTAAATTTAAGAGATGATTTTGGTTTTTTGTGAATAATGAGTTGTTTCTCTTGGATGCAATATTTAAGTATTTTGTTTAAAAAAATACATGGACATATAGGTTATGAACTGAAACATTTAGGTAAATGAAGCAAATATTCAGATTTTCTGAATTTTCAAATGAACCCAATATAAGCAAAAGACTTAAAGTTCCTTTAACGTCTTATTTCTGAACAAAGACTGACAGATCTAGGTAAGACATTACCCTATGATGGTTGATGGGAAATAATTCCAGATTAGCAACATTCATTGGGTCCTAGAGTTCAGTATAGGCAGCATTCACAACATGCAGTTTGGCAACTTCACTAAGTTTTCATAATTTTATTTTGAAAACACATTGAATGAGTATGCACTAAAAATTCTTTGTGTGGGGGAGGGGAGGGTACTGGGGATTAGAACCTAGGATCTTGTGCCTGCAAGGCAAAAACTATACCAACTGAGCTATATGCCCAGCCCTTCACTCAATAATCTATAAACCTATAAAAGAATGAGTGGTTGTTACCAGGCTGGTAATGTAYAAGACCATTTAAAGTGCTGGTTCACTGTCTACACAATGCCTCAGGCTGCTGGCCTCTGCAGGGACCACCTGTATCTCACCAGTGACAGCTCACTTCATCTGTTTTATGTAATTTGAGTTCTGCCTAAAATTTTTTCTTTAAAAACCAAATTCGGAAATCAGTGCTTATGGGTTACAAYATATAATTACCATATTCTGTGCTTCCAATGTCAGTTAGATTTACGAACATTAGAAGGCTTACAAACCTGTCCCTAACACACATTCAGCATGTCAAATGACAGTTTTTGCTTTATAAATTTACCATCTGTGTAAAAATAAAAAGKAAAGGGCTAACAAAATGGCTCAATTTCATTCCTGCATATGCATAATAGGCACTGTATTAAACCCTGGGCATGAACACCTGTACCCACCTGCACCTGACAACATGAAAAGCATCATCAACTGAAACAGACTTCAGTGAAAGAAGAGTTCAACCTGATGGTGGAGTCTTGAAGCAGAAACAGCTCTTTCTGGGAGCAGCACCAGGCTATGTACACTTCCAGCTATGAAGAACCAGCAATGTTCTATGACTTCCTTATAGTCTTGTAAGACACAAAGCCTGGCCTACCCACCCCCCATTTCCTCAGGCAATCAAGGGCCCTGTTCAATTTTCCTGATGAACGAAAGCTCCTGAAAAGTCATCTAGCACAGTCATCTAGATACAGTCCCCAAAAGTAATTTTAAAAATGAAAACAGAAATTTGAAATACAAATGAAGATGAAGAACATGAGCTAACTCTGGGGAGAAAACTGTATCCTCTTGAGAAGTAGACTATTTCATGTATCCTAGATGAACAGMACCATCTCTCTCAAGCTAATGGATCTACCACTAGCACCACAGGTGTTCAACATGATTTACTGAGGAGGTCTGCATATAGTTGTGCCTCCCTTTCCCAGAGACTGCAGGTTCCACTCTGCAGGTTAATACTGCTTATTCATAAATGTTCACTTTTTCAAGTTAACTTCCTACATACTTCCACTCACTTTTGGCCCAATTTATCACCATTAATCTAGAAGAGCAAAACAAATACAGTTCAAGGTGGTAGACTGGTTGGATTCAATTCTGAATTGCCCAATTTACTAGCTATATCATCTTAAACCTATTATTTAACTTYTCTGTGCCTCAACTTCCTTACTTATAAAATGGAGACACTATCAATATTACCTCTTGGAGTTAATAAAACTAAAATGACATAATACATGTAAAACAGACAATAGGAGTTTGAATAAACACTTCATAAAATTGGTTCTTACTATTATCAATTATGGCTAACTAAATTTGGGATCCATGAAAGTCTAAGAACCAATAAATATGAACTATGGGTATAGCTCAGGGATATAGTGTGTGTGCCCATCCCTGAGTTCAATCCTCAGCATAGGGGAATAAAAACCAAGAACTGAGAAATCTCTTAAGAGATGCTAATGCAAAATTAGTTTGAAAGCACATCTGAGTTTCACTAATGATATTGCATTGTTATTGAATGCTTAAATGTTTAAAAAGTTTGACCTTCTATCATAGAAATAACAAGACAAAATCTACACTTCCAGTTATCTACTTCAAGAGTTCTAAGACTATTCCATTTGTTAAGTTCTTACATCCAAAATTCTCAAGCACCATATAGAACCATGATCACAATTACTATCTAGAAAATAAGTTACTCTAGAGAACACTTCCCCAGGTRTTTGCTTCAGTTTCCCAGAACACATTCAAGGGAAGCACTTCCACACACCCTACACTTCACCAGCTTCCCACAACTCTCCCTGTTGAACAAGCTGAAGGTAATCTGCACCCACCAGCTGAGATCCATGCCTACCATATTGCTGCTCTGCTAGTTCCCAAACCAGCTCACACCAGTTGTACTTGCTAAACTCTTATATATGTAACTATTCCCTTAATCAATAAAATATAACTGCAGGAAGAGTGGCTTTATGCTTGTGCAAACTAAGAGGACACTTTAGGGAAACTCAATAAAAGAAAAATCACTGAAAATAAATTTGCCATAGAGTAGATGTGGTCAAAACCTAAAAGATTCTACACTCAGAATGTTTTATGAATGTCTTTAAGCTTCCCACTTTCAAGAAAAAACAATTTGGAAAAGATGAATTATGAACATGGCTAAAAGTCCCAAGCTTGAAGCAACAGTTTTTTGACATTCAATTTTTTTTAATTCAAAAACATATGTATTCTTACATGTTTATTCTTACATGGAATAAATATTTAAGGTAGATTTTAATTTTATTCCCTATTTGAGCTGACTTTTTAAATTAACTGAACCACCGCCATATACTTGTACACCAGGACTTCTACAATTTATACCTAAGCGTACACCAAAATTTTCTTGACTGAATTCAAACTATAGTTTTTCATGTTAATGTTTATGGAAGAATTCTACATAATGCTTAAAACATTCTATAGAAAATAAAGAATGAAGAGGAAGTTGAATATTATCAAGTACTTTTGTTCCATTTTGCTGTTTCAACCATAAACACCCATTTGGGTTCCTCTGATTCAGAAGTAGTTTAGTACTTACCTGCAAAGTTTTGGTAAATTATACTACTTTTAGAAATTCTATAAAAACATAAAAATATAATATTCAAAGATTGAAGCAATTAGAACATAATAGGAAACAAAAGGAAAAATATATGTGTGATGCTTTTAGTACAAAGTTAATTGTACACATACCTGTTTTTGATGTGATAATATATTGCAAGAGCTACACTGTAAAATAAAACAGAAGAATTCAACATTTTATCGGTRTATTCAAACTTTCAGGTATTATCTACTATCAGTCTGAACATCAATATTTAAATTTAAATAAAAKTCCAACAACCCATCTGAATAATGCCATTTCATTCAGAATGCTGCTCAACAGAATGCACTCTTCAAATTAAATCAGTCTGGTACTCATCCCCAGAAACTGTTAAATCTTTTCTAGAAACAACAGAACTTCAAGTGACATTTAGAAACAAACTGCTCTATAAGAAATTTTAAGCTTTTCTCACTTGCAAATACAGGAATTATGTAAAAGACAGGTGGTACAAATTAACATCTTTAGAAATCTCCAAGTCATTGTCTACTGAGGTTTAGAAAATTAGTAATTTCTTTATAACTACCAGAAAAATGTATCGCCTATAGCAGTTTGCTATTTTTTCTCTTAAATCAATAACCTCTTAGCAAACTACACATTTTCTTTAATCACTTGCTGAAATGGCACTTATTTGTAGCACTATCTTAAAATTACATTCTAAAATTGAAAAGATCCAATTTAATAAATAATTGCATTCTCTTTTCCCTGAATTTTTCTCTTATAAWATGTTATTTGACAATTAAATATATTATATTCATCATATAAATTTATATTCAGCATAAAAATTTTTGAAACTATAAGGAAATATAATACAGAAAACTATAAGAAAAAATAATCCCTTTGCCTAAAGACAACTGTTATTAGCTTGAGAAATATAGTTAGCTATTTATACACACACACACACACACATATGTAAACAAAAAGTTTATTTTCCATTTCTATTCTTTTCATGTTAAATTTTTTCTGATCATTAAAATATTCTTCAAAACCATGATTTTAAATGGCTGATTATATTTCATAATGTACTTAACCATGCCCCCTACCATTATACATTTGTTTCTCACATTCATTAATTACAATTAACACCATAGTGAACATCCTTACAGATAAATATTTATGCAATMTGTGACTATATTATTTCACAAGAAAATATCCAGTAATTGGAATTGCTTGGTCTACAGTCATTTTAATAATTGTAGGACTCCCAGTATATACTGCCAAATATCTTTGCAGAAGRCCTATATCAACACAACTCCCCAAAAATGTTTGTTTTATCTCACACTTGTTGACCCTTACCTGGAAAAAAAAATATCTCCAACTGGATAGGAAAACAGTATTTTGATCATCTATTCAAGTTGGCAGAATTATTCATATGTGAGTGGTGCAAAGGATTGAACCCAGGGCCGTGTACACACTAAGCAAGTGCTCTAGAACTGAGCTGTACCCGAGCACTGGCCAATCTTTTGTAATTCCCTTTTTAATAAACTGTCAAGATTCTTCTACTCTTTCTGCTTTACTTTAAAATGTACTAAGGCAGTCAAAAATTTTCTTTTTAAAAAGTTTTAAAATTTTTTATATAAAAAGAGCTAATTGGCTACATCAAACARTATAGTTCTCTCAAAGTTCTAGATCTTTCAAAGCTTGAAACTCCCAAGCAGGGAACCAACATGGAGAGATGACTACAGAGCCACCAACTCAGAGATTTGAATATGTATCTCTAATTCCAAAGTGCTTAGCTGTTTATCTATAGCCCAAAATGATGATAGCTAATCGTGCTCTAACACAGAACTTATATTTTTCCAAGTCTCATTCTAGATCTACACATGGGAAAATGGTAATGGATTCTCTTTCTCATAACTCTCCAAAGCATTTAAGCTGATGAGGGAATTCTAATTGGTGTGAAAGAGCTTCAGAAGCTTAAAAAAATAATAATGATTATTATTAGGATCATAAAATGTTTTCACATATACTAACACCTCAGTCTTGTTATAGAAAATAGTGGATGTTACTGATCCTTTTTTTTTAAATGAAAAAAACTCAGTTTCAGAAAATAGATGCTAAGATTTCTGACTTATATAATGGTTTTGTACCCTTCTGTTCTACTATGTTGCCTCTTTATTCATTTAACAGTCACACTGGGAGAACTGCTTTTCTAATCTAATGTCAGATTTAAATAGAATGTTTTATATGACTAGGTTTATTGTAGTGATTAGTTTAATATCTTTGATTGATTAGAAAAAAAATGTTCCTTGCTCTTGCCTGCAAGGGAACATGACACAGGAGAAATATACCCATGGACTAATGTCAGACAAACTTGGGTTCAAAACCCCAGGGCTAATTTACTTCTCCAGACTTTCATTTCCTCACCTATAAAAATTAGGACAATACAACCCACATTACAGAGTTGTTATTATGATCAAATGAAATAAAACAAAATGTATTAAAAGCATTATCTCAAATATAAATTTATAAAATAAAAGTTTTTATTATCATTGTTCCCTATCAAAAGGTCTCTGGTTTGTGCAGAATGGTGAAACTCTTTATGTCAGGACTCCAAATAAACTCCTTAGGTCATCTCCAAAGATAAGACTGGGCATTATCATGGCCTAACATATCCTGAGGAAAGAGCTGTTCTGTAGACCAATTTCCATTCAAGGTTATATCTTGGAAAGTGAGGACACTGTGCAGGGGATTTATGCATAGTACAGCCCTACAGACCAGTTTAGCTAGTCTTTCTAAATGATGCAATTGCTGGGGAAAAGGGCAGCTAGTGGACAACCAGGTCAGTCTCAGACTATAGGCTTCATTCCAAATGACCAGCTTCAACAGCCTGGTCAGTTCTGCCACAGCCTCAAAAAATGGTGAGATTTCATTAGGATGGCCTGGAGCCAACCTGGGAAACAGAAGTATATTTGGACTAAAGGGTTTGCTCAGCTCCTTTTGCCATATAGAAAGGAAGAAATGCTATTTTTCAATCCAAGAAAATAAAACAGATTTGTGATTGTTGGCACTGCCTCTGCCGTATTTCTTTCCTAGAGCTAAGTTATTAGCAAACAATATGGCATTCCCAAGACCTCTTTAATCTAGAAGTTGTAGGTTCTATTAGCACAGAAGGGATGACCTTGGAGACAAAGGTGGAAGGTAATTATCTATTCTTTAACCCCCAGAGGCTAAAGGCCACAGACAACTTGGCTAGTTGTGTAAATGGGGCTCTCTACCAACCTATACTCTGCTTTGATCATAATGCCTATAACTGTTGCAGAATTTGGTGCAGAAGAGTTGGCTGTGGAAGCATGGAGTGTAGTTGGCAAACTTTAAATTCATACCACAGCTGTTGGCATTTAGGGCAAAGATGGGCAAATCAAGTTCTCAAAATAAAAAATTATGCCTACAAAAATAATGAGCATTGTTTTGAGTGCCCAAACTTTTTATACTTTTTGATGGTTATACCACCCTCAACCCTCCAACCTGAGTCTTATTAGAATATGTAAATTGTTAATTTTTTCAATCCCCAATTTTCAGATGGTTTGTCTTCCAAACATCGGTGAATGAACCAAAGGTTTAGAACTCAGAGCATACTCTCACAGAAACAAGGTTATAATGGGTGTGGGATACAAGTTCAGCATACTGATGACCACAGTCAGAATGAACTACAGTATTAATGACTTTGTTATCAATTTTAATGTCAAAGACAGGGAGTAAGAGGGTCTTGAATTTAGGAAGGCAGAGAAAGGAAAACAAGAGTTTCTGATTTGAGAAGTATAGGATAAGTTTTAGGCAAAACAGTAGATTGGGTTGGCATTCAGATCTTCTCCACTGTCCCCTTCTTCGTACAGTATCAAAGGCCCTGGCTGGAGAACTCAGCCAGACCTGCTAACACCTGTTTATTTTTTTACTCTTCAGCTCTTTGGCCATAAACAAAACAAGTGAGAGATGGTGGTTTTGCCAGAAGAATTCTAATGGCACCACTTCAGCAAGGGCTCACCTACTCTGATCCCAAACATACATTTTAAGGATGCTTTTTAGAGAAACTGAACTACTGACTAAAGGAATTTCAAGTTTTGTGGTAGAGATGTCTTTTGAGTCAGAGAAGTCACCGTTTCTACAGAGCCCTTGTCTCCAGTCACCTAATCCTAACTGTTCTTGCTTTCAGTTTCTTGTCCCTCTACTCATTAACCAGTTAATGTTGGTGGGTGAGRGGAGGGCAAATGATCCCTTACATCAGGAGTCCTCAACCTTGGYTGCCTATTATGATCTTCATAGGTGGATGAAAAGTCTAGATACCCAGGCCACACTCCAGGACATGTACAGGGACACATGAAAGGACATCAAATGTCAGTGTGCTTCTTAAGTTCCCAGTGCTGCCAAAGCTGGAACTATTGACTCATTTACACACTTTTGTAACTTAGATGCTCGAACTTTCCATATTTGAGGACTGAAATATAAATTGTCACCCAGTTTTCCCCACCAGGTTCCCAAGTGTCCATGTTGAGAATTGAGTCAGATCTACTTATCTCAAGAGCTCCCACTAACTACCCTTCTCCTCTTCTCTGCCTCACTTCCTGGGAAGAGGACCTCAGTATTACAGGAAAGTGGGCAGCTTTCATTCTGGACTCTTCAGAGTTTAAGCAGGTGCCAAGAGCCAAATGGTACACAGATTTTCAGGGCTTCCCACTTCTCTCCCACAAGTCCTAATCACTTAATCTAGAAAATACCTCTAAGAAGTACTATACTATTCATTTTCCAGTAGTAAGCTTCTGCTCAAGGGTAATGAGGGCTCTACCTTYTGTGTGCAAGGTCACACAGATAGCTGCACAGCATAGCCAGAATACATCTCTTTCCAGCTTCAAGTGCTAACTGTTTGGGTTTATGCCCAGAATCCTTYGGGCAAAATCACCATCTCTCGCTTGTTCTGGTTATGACCAAGGTGCTAAGGAGTAAAAACCATTTACCATGCTTCTAAATGCTGGGGCAATGAGGGAAGAGACTACATTTCCATTTACATCCTGGATGCATTCAACCCTATACGAGAGAAGGGAACTCTACATCAGGCACCTTCACTCAGTGGTCTTGTCTTCCACCTCCCACCCAGACTGGACTCTGTCCATGGAAGATGCTTACAATCCTTACTGTCTGACAGAAGCTGTGATTGCACGTGTGGTCCCATTCAGAATAGGGCTTCTAAATCTGAAAATGTGGTCATGGAAATAGCACTCTTCCTATTTAGAAACTGCAACACTTACTCCATATGCTAACATGAATTGTTGTTAAATGTGTACTTTCTTAAACAAGTAGAGAGAGAAAATATCCCAGATTTTTCATAGTTGGGCTGCTGAGTACAGACCCCAGCACATCAAGTTATCTGTGGTACCTGCTAAAGGTGGCTGTTCTCACAATGCTCAATAAGGTGGAAATCTTATAGCAAAGACCAGTATTCCCCTGGTTCTTAATGAGAAAACCAAAGCTTTCAAAGGGAAAGGATGTGACTGAAAGACTCTACTTTCTCCCTCTTAAACTCCATTTCAAAATAATGAACTAAAAAAAACCCACAGAGGGCTGGGAATACAGCTCAGTTGGTAGAGTGCTTGGCTCATATGCAAAAGGCCCTGGGTTCGATCCCAGCAACACACACACACACACACACACACACACACACACACACACACACAGAAAGATTCTACTCAAATCCTTTGTCTTAGCAAAAGTCAGATCTCCCAGCTCTGGCCAAGTACATTCTCATTGTGCCAGGTGGGCTTCCTACTACAGCCCTGATCTTAAATTGGGACTACAGGAGCCATGTTTAGTTAGAAGGTAAAATATTGGCAAAGATATGCCAGGATAGTATCAATCAAAATGAAAGGATAAAAAGTATACACAAAAATTAAAAAATATACATTAGGTTATGTATGTTTAAAATAATTTAAAATGTTGGCCTTTGATATAAATAGTAAATTAGCTTCTCCTCCCCAGCCAATCTCATCACTCCAGATCCCATTACCAACCAGCTTAGCCATCAAATTAAGAAACAGAAAAGGCATTCAGTTAGGCAAAAATCTGTATACCCACCATTTAATTGTATACTTGAGGTTTGGTTGACTGACTGTGCTATCATCTAGGAAAATAGTAGAGCAGGAGCTGTATTTCCTTGTAATTTGTCCAGGAGGATGCTAGAAAACAACAGCAACAAGACAAAGATAATTACAGAGAGCTATAAATTCTTTCAAGGAGTATCACCCCCTTATTTGAGATCAGAACACAGAGGAAGAATGTCTTAGTGAGAATCGTTACCACCACAAACAGAACAACAAAATTTGATTATAAAATGAGTCGCCAGTTCTTTCACACATAAGTCTCCAACACCATTCCTAGTCCCAAACTTTCATGGGAGAACAGTAAACCTATGCAATCAAAGAGTACCCTTCAGAGTCCATAAAAACCATCTGCCTTGGGGCCTGAGTAAAACATGGAGTACACTGCTCTCTATGTTAATGAAAGCCCATAATTGAGGTGACATCTTATTTTATGCACTAAGATCAAGATGAGAATCCATTGTTGGGGTATAGTTGATTTATGGGCCATGGAAATGCAGCCAAGGTTGATTTAGAATCTCCTTGCTAATCCACTTAAATTTTTGCAAGTTACAAAGAAATGTATATCTTTGATAGGAACAAAATTATTTGAAGGAGGAAATTATTTGAAACTTTGGAAATACAACCAGCTTATAACCTGTAGGTAGTATACTTGTACACTTTTAAAAAGTGGTTCTTTCACAAATGTACAAGTTTTGAGTTCTGCAGAGAATTTTAGAATGGAGAACTACTTCTGAACAGTAATGATACAGAAAACAATTTTTAAAACTGTTTATTGATTTCACCTACTTGAATGCTAAGTGGACTTTGGATARCAATTTGGGCACCTGCCTGGCTTGCCTACCTCCAGCAAAACCCTCAGTTCATGAATTTAGTAAAGAAAATCAATTAAAGACCAAAAGCCCTGGTTCCAAATGCCAAAATTCTTTGCCATTGCCATTTACTTCCTATTTAATAGGTTTCCTCTGTAACAAAATTATGAAAATGTGCAGCAGCCTGAAAAATACAMGGACAATATTATAATTTCCTCTCAAAACTAAATAATCAATGCTAGTTACTATTTTGTATACCTAGTTCCTTAAAATACAGCTAGAGGGCACTGCACTACTGATGCATTATAACCCTGTGAGCACTGGTTCTAACATAAATACCACAGGTCAGAAGGAAATAACCAGAGTCAGGAAATGGAAAAGATCAGACTTGTTCTCAGCTTCCCACTTAAGCTTGCACTTTTATACATAATGAAAGGGCATGAAGAGAGTGTAGACAGTTCAAATTATGACTTTAAATGTTAATTTTCACATGACATCTTTCACATCTATCAAATTAATCACAATAGTCTCATTAAGACAATCCTAAAGAATTAATACAATTCTCCTTCTTGCTGTAATTTCTTGATGTAATTATATAAGAAAAAATCAAATYCTAACAAAAGCTGTTAAAATGGGTGGCAAGCTTTAAAAATCCTTATCAAAATTTTGTTCCCCACAGAAACGAAATTTACTACAAACAATAATCCCAATAGATACAATGTTTGACACAAAAATCCAGTTATTAATTGATGTGTTTGTTAATGAATTTGCAGAAATATAGGATAATTTTAATAATCCCAACGACGAAGCAAAAAGACAGTATTTCACACTTTCATTTCTTGTGAGGTTTCAACTATTTCCTCTGATACAAATTCCTTTAACATTAAAATGTGATGGGAACTTCAAAGAACAACTAGCTTCCCTAAGAAGACATAAGCCATGAAGTCAGGGAGAGGAAATAGGTGATTCACTTGGGTGAGTACAGTCTGCATCCTCATAATCTAAGAAATCAATTTTGTGACCTAAGGGGTAGAAAGACCCCTCTACATGCAAAGTCCTAAGGGTCAGAGGGTTAACTCAAACCAGTCACACTAAGGAACCCGCCCAGTCCTGGCCTCAGAATCACCCCAGTTGTTCAGTTTGTGCATCCCAAAACAAAGGGCTAACATAGCAAAGCCTTTATTTTCCAAGGGGACACCAACTCAGYTTTCAAACTATGTAACAGTTTCTAAATTTAATAAAAACCATAAGCGTTAAGTTATAAAGATTTCTGGTTTCAGGGTGCCTCTACAATGCAACAAGGAAGCATTATATATGTTCACCAGGTGTACTGTAGTTRTTAAACTTTTTAAATTAGCACAGTGTGCTGGCTAGTGCTAGGTTTAGTCAAAATATTTTATTAACTCAGTTGCCCCATGATGCTGAAAAATCAGTGTGTTTCACATATACTTACAAGCATAGCAAGACCCTCCCACTTATTTTCTAATCTTTGCTAAAAACAAACGACGACAATGACAAAAAAAAAAAAAAAAAAAACAGCATTAAGATACAACTCTTTTGTGTGAATCTAACCCACTGTAACTACCTGTGTGACCTGGGAAAGCTACTTAGCCTCCCCTCTCTGCACCCAAGTTTCCTTACCCGTAGAAGAGAGATGAAAATAATAGTCCCTTCTATTATCATGAGGGGTCATTATGAGGAGCACCTGAGCTAATATTTTATGTACTCAGAGCAGGGCTGCAACATAAGCTATAGATATTACATCTGTACTTAATGAGTAGGAAAAAATGWGTTAGCCATGTCAAAAAGAGTGATGGTAATGTTTTTATGCCTAATGTAATAATGTTTTAGAATATAAAAAAAATTCCCAAGACAATATTTTACCAGGAAAGAATGGGCATACAGTTACAGAGATGTCTATAGATAAAGAGATTTGCCCAAGAAGGACAATCATCTTGACGAGAGAAAGGTATCACAGGGAYAAACATAACCTCTATTTAGAAGGGGAACAGGAAATAGTTGTTAGTGAGAAGACCAATTATGGATCATTCCAAAGAAATTAAAGTTTATGTATTTGAAATAATGTATATTTTACAACTTAAAATATGAATATGTTGAATAAYAGAATTTTAGAGCAATACTGAAACAAGATTATTTAGCCTACTTATTTACATAATGTCTCTAATACAAAATAGTTTTATTATTTACATCAAGATCCCCTAATGCATAAAAACTGTTAGACCACATATTTAGTTGCCCAAATAAAATTATAAAAATATGAGCCAGCAGTGTTCTGGGTTGCTTTACATCAATTTATTTACAGCATATAAACACACCCTGCACAGCATGTAGAATTCCCATTCTACAGACAGTCAAAAGAAGTCAAAGAAATGAGGTAACATTTCTAAGATCAAATCTAAGACACCTGAGCTCAAAGCTTCATTCACCTCACTCCTTCCTAAACTGTAGTTCTTCACACATCGGTGCCCTCCAAAACTTTTCATATCACACCCCCAAATGTCTTTGTCCTTCCCTGACCTCACTCATCCTTCAGAACTCAGTCCTTCCCCAGGATGTGTTCCACCACAGGACCATCTGGGCTGAGGGTGCCTCCTGTGTGTTCTGTGTGCACCCTGGCTTGCCCTCCACAGGACTGATCACATTCTACTGTCATTTTCTGCCCACTCATGTATGTTCTGCCTATAGCCTAGACTCTAATGGTCTTGGAGGTACAAAGTGGATAGCTTCCTTAAATCAGCAACTAAGGAAAAGATCCATCCCTGGACTGATGTGTGCTCATACGCCTGCCACCAACCCAGCAAGTCTGCTTCCATGATGGCAGCAGGGACCTCTGTGAGGTGGTAATGACAGCATGGTTGCAGCAGTCACAACACAGCAGAAAAGTRTGAGTGTGTCAAACAGCTGGTACASAGGAGTTCACTGAAGAGGGCTGTGCCATTGGGCTGTGAAATGCTGACATGCTCAGGCACGTTGAAATGCAGCAGTAGCTGGCAGAACCAAGGAGTCAAAGGTAATGTGGTAAGACCCCATATATAGGCTGGGCAAGCATAGGGCTGGAGTCAGAGGACCTAATACCTAGGTTTAGTTCTGTCACTGATTAGCCACATGAATTGGACAAATTACTCAAGTGGAACTCACATGTTCTGGCTTGCTGGGGTTCATCCTAGTTTACYCCTGTCTTCCTAGAATAGAAAGTAATAGCACACCCTTTCACATTCAAGTATCCTCACTTGGGAAACAGAATACAAGGTCCCCTTAGGCTTAACCTCGTCAGTGTCCTCATTTATGAAATACAGAAATCAGAACCTGCCCCTTACTATGATGCTGTGAAGACTACACAGGATAGTACCTAAAAATGCTCAGCACATACAGTGCTCAATAAACAAGGTTAGGSCACTGAGTAACACTCAAAAGAGTCTCTGTGTTTTAACGTAATTATAAATGAATGAAATGGCCCAACTTCTTAGGGCTTGAGAAGACCAAATAAAAATTAAGCATCAAAAAAATGAGGTACTATTATTAGAGAAAAGCAACTGGAAGGCTGGGTTTGTAGCTCAGTGGTAGGACACTTGCCTAGAATGTGCAAGGTGCTGAGTTCCATCCCAAGTAATGCCAAAAAGAAAAATAAAAGGTGGTGAAATTTTTTTTGGAAGCGCTGTTAGTGAACTCTCTAAAAACGAAAATTCTATAATTTTTTGTTTAATTCTAATGGTAAGGAAGCAATTTATGAGSTTCACAGAAGACACATGATTCTATCTGCAGCTTCTTTGGAGCACAAATGAAATCTGAACTAGAGTTCTTTTATTAAGAACTAACTTAAGGGCCAAAGGTGCAGAACATTATAGGAAAGAGCACAGGAGAAGTGGAGGAAGAGGCTGTCTCGCTCACCTTCTGCCACAAACTGAASCCTCAATATACAGTCTCCATGGAACCACAAAAGAGACRTGTCTTTCCCTCATTTTACAAGAGTCTCTCTTTCTCATTCACACAGCTATTGTGGGGTAGAAGTGAACTTGAGGACAGTTTGGCATTGTGAAGCCTACACAAACCCAAGGCACATATCAGAAAGGGCAGAAACACTTATAGTCAGGAGAATGTGCACCCACAAGGAAGTCTCTGGGTGAGGAGAGGAAGGCTCCTCATCATCCTCCTATACCACCAGGTGCCACACAGTCACAAAGAAGGGAAAAAAATAGAAAAAGAAACTCACATCCTTGACCTCAAGATGTTACTAAACTAATATTC